CTCCGTCGGCCTCACGACACCCATTCCCTGCCCAGCCTTCGTTGGGTTTGGTGAAATACCCCTTTTAGACAAACAAAAACTCAAGAGTTTGCACCAGTACACCATCACGGGGGGAAATTCTCAAGGAATAAGCCTCAATTAAAAGACCCAAGAAAAGAGAGGGGAGGAGCGAGAGGGAAATCTACAGAGAAAACCTAAAGAAAAATGGACTCCATCATGTCTCAGCAAATACAAAACTGAACCAAAACACTTCACAACAATAGCAGGTAAGAGGGGAAAAAAAATTCACTCTAAAGTTCTCAGTGTTCTAAGAACATGATCGACTTTAGATGTGGCCAGTTAAAAATGCACCTTAGAATTTCTAGGCCAAGCAAGAAAGGGGTGGGAATGGAGTTAATATGCTCAAATTGGGACAAGAGAAGGAAAACTAGAATGAGAAAAAAACAAAAAAGACAAGAGAAGCACATAAAATTCATTACAATACAAAACACTTGAATTACTATACTGCACACCAGAACCTAATATGACATTGTATGTTAACTATACCTCAATTAAAAGAAAAAGAAAAAACTACAAAGCACAAAATATGGGAGCAGGAAAAAAAATCCAGATATATTCATGGTTACTGTGGCAGAATGAAGAACAAGTCAATGATACGATGCAGTTCCTCCTGGACAAATCTGGCCTGACCTGGAGACATCCTCTGACCACGAGGCAGCGGTAATGCTGTGCAGGGCCCAGAGCCCAGGTCCCAGGAAGTCCAGTACCTCGGCTATCTCGAAGCCCTGAGACCACTGCGCCAGAGAAGCTGAGGTCAGCACCCTCAAGAATGAAATCTGCTGTGCAAAGAGACATGCAGGTAGAGTGCCAGCAGGTGCACCCAGCTGCATGGAGGCCCCCACCACAGAGTGAGGCCATCTGGGAGGAGCTTGGCCCTGCTGACCTGCCAGCTGAAATGACACCACGCGTGTGGGCCCAGACTGGAGACGTGCTGGCCAACTCACAGAATGGTGGCACAAAATAAACCAGTGTCATTTTAAGCTATGTACTTGGGAATATGTTGTTATGTTATGCAGTAACAAATAACTGATACGTTTACAATGAACATAAATGGAAAAAGGACCAAGCTTAAAAACCTGGACTTAAAAAAAAAGTCCAACTAGGGGCACCTAGGTGGTTCAGTCGGTTGGGCACCCAACTCTTAATTTCAGCTCAGATCATGATCTCTTGGTCATGGGATCAAGCCCAGCATTAGGCTCTGCACTGAGCGTGGAGCCTGTTTAAGACTCTCTCTCCCCCCCTCTCCATCTGCTCACGTTCTCAATAAAATAAAATAATCCAACCAAATATTCTCTACAAGAGGCACCAGCAAAATAGATGAATACCTAATGACTGAAGGTGAAAGGGGAGAATGCCAGAGAAACCAAAGTTAAGTTGTTCCCACTACGGTAACACAGGAAATCAAAGATAAAGTCACTACATATGACATATTGTTCAATTAATTACACAATTAACAAGACTGAATTTGTATGCCACTAACAAGATAGGCTCCGAATACATAAAGCAAAAATTGACATATACATATAAGAATGGCACTTTCCCCGAAAGTAAAAAAAAAAAAAAAAAAAAAGAAAGATACAGATTTGACTAAGATAATTCCCAAGCTTGCACTAATGTACATAATGTACTTCAACAATTTTAAGATGCACATTTTTTCCCACATTTTAACATCACTGAAATCAACTGTGACATATATGGGTCACCACCTTATCTGTGAATATGATTATTGCTAGAGGCATCATTGAACTTGATGTTTCTGTCACACATACACACACACACACACACACACGATTTAAAACCATCTGATGAAGGGTTATTGCTTCAAACTTTTCATTGATACCTTCTGGTGGAATCACCAAAGTCATGGTATAAAAGCTTAACAGATTTTGAAAAATTGCAAAGATAGTAAGGTGGTATCCTTCTGAGAAATGCTGTGTCACCCGTGACTGTGGTGGCACAGAGGAAAGGCTGTGTAGGAAAACACAAATACTCTCCATAGAGTGATTCTGAAGAGTGGGACTGTGGGAATACCCTGACCAACTTATTTTGCTCATATTTTACTCTTTACATGGGTGCACAAAAGAAAAAGTTATAAAAATCAATGTTTACATAAGTTTAGGGGCACCTGGGTGGCTCAGTCAGTTATCTGACTCCTGATTCCGGCTCATGTCATGATTCTCATGATTTGTGGGATCGAGCCCCGTGTCGGGCTCTGGGCTGACCATGTGGAGCCTACTGTCTCCCTCTGTCCCTGCCCTTCTCTGCTTGTGCATACTCTCTTGCTCTCAAAACAAACAAACAAATAAATACGTTTTTGAAATTCAGTCGGTATAAATGAAAATTTCTAAGTGAGAAGAAATCATGAAGTCTGGTTTCATGGGCAACTTTCTTCTTAGTGGCACATAAAATAATGCTGCATCTTACAACTGACAGAAACAGAGATTCACTCAGATCCCCATACTCAACAGCTGTGTAGACACACTCGTTTGGAGGGCATGTGGAACATTCATGCAAAGTGACTTGCATACTGGTCCATTTAAAACAAGCCAATAGGGGCGCCTGGGTGGCTTAGTCGGTTAAGCGTCCGACTTTCACTTAGGTCATGATCTCGAGGTTCATGGGTTCGAGCCCCGCGTCGGGCTCTGTGCTGACTGCCAGCTCAGAGCCTGGAGCCTGTTTCAGTCTGTGACTCCCTCTCTCTCTGACCCTCCCCTGCTCATGCTGTCTCTCTCTCTCTCCTAGAAATAAATGAAACATTAAAAAAAATTTAAAAAAAAAAGCCAATAAATCTCAGGGGGCAACAAATTGGCTTGCTCAACCTCTGCGGGGACCTCACGATGAAGCGGGTTAGCAAGCTCAAAATTCCATCCCCAGACTCTTACATTTAGGTTGCTAAGGATGAATTAGGCTGTACCCAGATTCCCAAGAGTTCCTCCTCCCACCTCATCCTAGCTGGCCAGCACAGATGCACACCGAGGGTTTTCTGCAACAGCACTCTGATGCTCAGGCACTAGCTTCCTGGGAACGGAGGGTGCTGCGGGAGCAGAGCTTCCTGATTCAGACTGTGGGGGCCGCCCCCGCAGCTGGGGACATACCTGATTCAGACTGTGGGCCCACCCCCCACAGCTGGGGACATTTCTGATACAGACTGTGCTCCTCCCCTCCCCCCCCCACAGCTGGGGACATTCCTGATTCAGACTGTGCCCCCCTCCCCCCGCAGCTGGGGATGTTCCCAGGATGCAGGGGTTCCAGGGCTCACCCGGAGGGCGTTCCTTTGGTGACTTAAAGACCCAGGCCATAGCCCGGGCACAGGGCTATGGGAAGTGCCCAGTTCTCTGGATTACACTATCTCTTCCTGCTCCAAACACTCAGCATGCTTTAGGGCTTCCTGCACGGAAGTCTTACTGAAGAAAAATCGGTACCGTAAAGAGCACATTCTCTGACCACAAAATATTTAAGTTAGAAATAGTTAATGACACAGTGACTAGGAAAAAAAACTACATTTGTTTGGAAATTGAGAAGCACCATTCTAATGTTGTTGTTGTTGTTGTTGTTGTTGTTTTTTATTTCTAGGAGAGAGAGAGACAGCCTGAGCAGGGGAGGGTCAGAGAGAGAGGGAGTCACAGACTGAAACAGGCTCCAGGCTCTGAGCTGGCAGTCAGCACAGAGCCCGATGCGGGGCTCGAACTCACGAACCGCGAGGTCATGACCTAAGCGAAAGTCGGACGCTTAACCGACTAAGCCACCGAGGCGCCCCTGAGAAGCACCATTCTAAAGAGTGCACTGGGTGATGCCTGGGTGGCTCAACCGGTTAAGCATCCGACTTCGGCTCAGGTCATGATCTCACAGTCTGTGGGTTTAAGCCCCGTGTTGGGCTCTGTGCTAGCAGCTCAGAGCCTGGAGCCTGCTTCAGATTCTGTGTCTTCCTCTCTGCCCCTCCCCTACTCACACTTTCTCTCAAAACTGAATCAATGTTTAAAAAAAAAAAAAAGAATACATTGGTTCAAGAAGATATAAAGTAAATGAGAAAATTCTGAGGTGGAAATATTGAAAATATCGATGCCTGTGTGCTAGTAAACAATGCAGTCATAACAGAAAACACGTATTTTAATTTTTTTTTACATTTAATTATTTTTGAGAGACAGAGTGAGACAGAGAGTGAGCGGGGGAGGGGCAGAGAGAGAAGGAGACACAGAATTTGAAGCAGGCTCCAGGCTCTGAGCTGTCAGCACAGAGCCTGAGGTGGGGCTCGAACCCATGAACCATGAGATCATGACCTGAGCCGAAGCCGGATGCTCAACTGACTGAGCCACCCAGGTGCCCCTGAAAACACGTATTTTAAAAAGTTATGTTGAAAGCACGTTAAGCATTCACCTTCAGAGATTAGAAAAACAGCAACAGTTTAAACCAAAAGGAGAAAATAATGCAGAGAAGAAAGTCCTTTAAGAAGTGCGATGAAGCCACTCTGGCAATTCCTCCCAAGTCCGCGTGCAGCCTGACAGTCCCTCTCCGGGGCCCCAGGAGGTCTGGGACCCGGGGCCGCACTGACTGGAAGGTCCATGTTCACAGCAGCATGGGTCACAACGGCCAAAGCGCAGAAACCACGCAAACGGCCCTCACGGGACAAACAGATACACACAGCGTGGCCCATCCACACCACAGAGTTATCACTCGGCCTCGAGACGCAAGCTTGGGAACGTGACGCCGAGTGAGGGCAGGACTGTGGTTACCAGACATGGCCGGGACGGGCCAAGAACAGACACGACGAGTTTGTGGGGACAGGAATCAGAAGAGCGACTCCCCTGGAAAGCCGGGGAGGGTGCTGAAGGAGAAGGTGCCTTGTGTGGACTTTAATCCGAGCGGTAGTTACGCAAGTACAGATACACAAAACAGCTGGACTAACGTGAGCACTGTATTTCCTCCCCTGAAAGCCTACTTACCGAGATGGGATCCTGTTAATCCTCAATGACGAGAAGGACGGATTTCCTGCAAAACACACTGAAAGGACCTGCTAAAAGCCTGCCTCACACACACCAAGACAATGCCAGTCCACCTAGGGACAATCTGGCCTGATGTACACACTGCCCCCTCCTCCTTACATGCTGTGGCTGTCATTCTCCCCAGTCCCCTCCCACCTTCGATATGCCCACCTACCGCTGGATGAGGCAGGGAAGGATTTTTCCAAACACAAAGATAACAGATACAATCAGCACCAGAGTCAGCTTAGAGCCGTCGTGGCAGGTTTTCCAGCTAACTGCCTTTCCGTTCGCACGGCCCTGCCCTCCTCTCAGGCCCGCCTCTGCCTGCACACAGAAGCCCTCTCTGAAGACCAGCGTGTCACAAGTTGTCCCGTCTGGTGACCACCAAGGACCACACGAGAGCTTCCCGGCCTCCATCCAGCGAAGCACACAGAAGAGCCAAGCCCTCGGCCAGCTCTCCGGAATCCTTACCTGAGGGGTTATGTTTGAGTCACGGACTCCAGCTCATTTCCTAGAGCAATTTCTTGCACACGTGGTCTGCCACCCTCCCCATCAACATCACTTGGAGGTACTTGTCTGGAACAGGGTTCCTATCACATGCCTATCAAATCAGAACCTCTGGGTATGAAGCCTAGGGCTCTGCATTTTTTTTTTAATGTTTATTTTTGAGAGAGAGAGAGAGAGAGAGAGAGCGTGTGCACATGCATGCACTCAAGTTGGGAAGGGGTGGGGGGAGGGGAGGGGAGGATCTGAAGCAGGCTCCACTCTGAGAGCACAGAGCCCGATGCGGGGCTCAAACTCACAAACCATAAGATCATGACCTGAGCCAAAGTCAGACACTTAACCGACTGAGCCACCCAGGCGCCCCTAGGGCTCTGAATTTTAACAAGCTTCCCAAATGATTTTGTTGAACACTGGAATTTGAGAACCACTGCTAAAAGGTGGCTCTAGACATATAAGTCTGTAACTCAAATCCTGAATGCAATTTACTAAGTACAGAGGCAACATGATATAGTAATTAGGAGCCTGAATTTTGCAGCCAGACAACCAGTGCTCAAAGCTGGTCTCTGCCTCTTACTAGCTGTGTCACCTTGGGCAACTTACCTAACCTGTCTGTGCCTCAGTTTCCTTGCTTGTGAATAGGATGATATATATTATTATGTCAAAAAGATAATCAAAATTGAATTCTCTTCTTGAATGTTACTTGAAATTTCAAAATAAATGTGGAACTTTAAATCACACCACCAAGCACTTAAAGATCTTAAAAGACACACATTTTGGGGCACCTGGGTGGCTCAGTTGGTTAATAAGCGTCTGACTTCGACTCAGGTTATGATCTCACGGTTCGTGGATTCGAGCCCCACGTTGGGCTCTCTGCTGACAGCTAGCTCAGAGCCTGGAGCCTGCTTCACATTCTGTGTCTCCCTCTCTCTCTGACCCTCCCCTGCTCACATGGTCTCTCTCTCTCAGAAATAAATAAAACATTAAAAAAAAAGACATTTTTACCTCAATCATGAAAAAATAATGGCTGATGAGACTTTCTATCCTGGATAATTGAGTGATAGAGCGAAATAAACATTCTGGCATCAAGCCCCTGTATAACCAATATTTTTTAACAGCCAAAAGTTGCAGTGAAGGGGGAAGAGCTTCACAAATACGCATGTATAAAAATCGTATGAAGACAGTTTGGCAGTTCCGCACAGAGCTAATCACAGGCTTATGATACAATCCAGCAACCACACTCCCAGGTATTCACTCACCCAAATGGGTTGAAAACCTATGCCCACATGAAAACCTGCACACGAATGTTTGCAGCAGCTTTAGTCGTAATTGCCAAAACCCAGAAGCAAACAAGATGTCCTCCAGCAGGTGAAGAGATCAGTTGTGGTAAATAAAACAGACAAGAGGATATTATTCAGCACGAACTGGATCCATCAAGCCATGAAAAGACATGGAGGAAACGGAATTCGTAAAGAAGCCAGTCTGTAGGATTCCAACTATACGAGGTTCTGGAAAAGCCAAAACTATGAAGGCAGTAAAAGGATCAGTGGTTGCTAGGGGTGCAAGGAGACAAGGGGAGGGATGAATAGGTGAGCACAGGGGATTTTCAGGGTGGTGAATCTATTGTCCATTATAATGTGCTGGTGGATGCATGTCACACGATGATGCATTGGGCAAAACCCACGGAACTATACAGTACAAAGGGCCCTATTGTAAACTATGGCCTTTACGTAATAACAATGTATCAACATTAGTCCATCAATTGTAACAAGTGTATCACACTGACTAAGATGTTAAAGATAGGGAAACCTTATATGGTGGGAGCCTATGGGGACTCTGCAACACCTGAAAGATGTAATGTTTCCTTATTATCTAACCTGAATGCATAAGGTTGACGAGATTTCCCACAGTAGTATCAGATTACCACTTACAATAAAAACCGTAGGCCACTGCTAACCTTTGCTCTGTGAAGCTCTGGGCTTCCTCACTGTTATAGGCAAGAGCTGCCCACTCATACAATGACTATAGAGTAAACGGTATTTTATCTTGATTAAAAAAAAATTTTTTTTAAATAATCTCTACAGTCAACATGGGGCTGGAACTCACAACACTGAGATAAAGAGTTATAGGCTCTTCTGACTGAGCCAGCCAGGTGCCCCTTTATCTTGATTTTAGTTTAATTGTTGATTCATTTATTTTTGAGAGAGAGTGTGTGAGCAGGGGAGGGACAGAGAGAGAGAGATGCAGGATCCAAAGTAGGCTCCAGGCTCCAAACTGTCAGCACAGAGCCTGACGTGGGGCTCACACCCACAAACTGTGAGATCATGACCTGAGCCAAAGCTGTACGTTTAACTGAGCCACCCAGGAGCCCCATCTAGATTTTGATCAGCTTTGGACAGAACAGTGAATTTCTTTTAGGAAAATAAAAAACAGACAAAAATTTTTAAACAAAAACCCACCCTACATAAAACTAGAGTCATTTCACGTGTGAAGAAAGTGGGATGGGGTATCCTCTCCTCCTCCTCTGAGAATTACATCTGTTAGTTCTCTAATATTTGAAAGAGTAATGACGGGGCACCTGGGTGGCTCAGTCAGTTAAATGTCCGACTTCGGCTCAGGTCATGATCTCACAGTTCGTGGGCTCGAGCCCCGCGTCCAGCTCTGTGCTGACAGTTAGCTCAGAGCTTGGAGCCTGTCTTTGGATTCTGTGTCTCCCTTTCTCTCTGACCCTCCCCTGCTCACCCTGTCTCTCTCTCTCTCTCAGAAATAAATAAAGCATTAAAAATTTTTTTAAATGAAAGAGTAATGACAGGATTTTAGAACACCACTTCCAATATGGGGCACCTGAGTCAACAAAAAAACTCCCAGAGAGATGTGCATGACCAGAAAGTTCTTCATGAACTCTAATGAGCCAAGACCAGAAGATGTTCCACACTTGAAAGGGGTTTTCGACAGTTGAGAAAAGAACAAAGAATTTCCCTGAAACAAAGAAGGACAAAGAGGACAGGATGAAAAAGTCTTTCTCAAAATGACTGAAAACTTCCCAAATCTGCTCCCCCCAAAACACAACAAAAACCAAAGAAAAACCCCAAAACCTACAAACTCAAGAAGGTGAGCAAACTCCAAATGGCATGACCCAGAGACCTAAATCACGGTATACACATGCTTCTGAAAGAGGAAAGAGACAAGGACACCTTCCCCACAGGAGCAGGACATCCAATTTCTCATCAGAAGCCATAATGGCGAGCGGAAGTACCACACCAGTCTTCAAGTAAAGAAAGAAAAGAACGGTCAGCTCTCGATTCCATATACGCTGAAGGAATCTTTCAGGAATGAAGGAGAAGCTAAAATGATCTAAGATGAAGGAACAGTGAGAGAATCTGTCACCCACAGTCCTGCCCTCAAAGAGCAGCTCCAGTCCCCTCGACAGAAGGGAGACGACAAAACAAGGCATGTGGGAATAGAGTGAAGAAGGAAGGAAAAGTAAAACTGTGTGAGTACAATAAACTTTCCTTCCCAAGTTCTCTCAAGTATGGCTAGGACAAAAGTTACAACACCGTCTGGTGGAATATGCAGAAGAAACAGGTAAGAGATGTATAGGGAGGTAAGGTTTCCCTATTCTGGGGCGCTTGGGTGGTGTAGTCAGGTGAGATTCCGACTCTTGGTTTCATGTCGGTTCATGATCTCATAGTTTATGAGTTTGAGCCCCATATCGGGCTCTGGGCTGATGGTGCAGAGCCTGCCTAAGATTCTGTCTCTTCTCTCTATCCCTCCCCTGCTTGTGCTTGTGTTCTCTCTTAAAAATAAACAAATTTGGGGGGGGGGGCAGGTTTCCCTATTTCATTTGAACTGGTAAAATGATGACCCCAGCAAACTCTAATTATATAAATATATACGGACATATATATTATATAAATATATATAACATTCATACATACATGCATACACACACACATTGAGCAACCATTAAAAAAAAGTCTACAGGGCGCCTGGGTGGCTCAGTCAGTTAAGCGTCTGACTTCGGCTCAGGTCATGATCTCATGGTTTGTGGGTTCAAGTCCCGCATCGGGCTCTGTGCTGACAGCTCGGAGCCTGGAGCCAGTTGCGGATTCTGTGTCTCCCTCTCTCTCTGACCCTCCCCGGCTGAGGCTATCACTCTCTCTCTCAGAAATAAATAAAACATAAAAAAATAAAATAAAATAAAGTCTACACAAAGGGACTCACTCAAAGACAATATGCCTATGTCAAACTGGAATTCTTAAAAAAATGTTCAAGTAACTCACAGAAAAAATTCACAGAGAAATGAAAAAGAACCGGGAAAAAAAAAAGTGTAATGACAACTTACATCCTGATACATTAATAATCACCTTCAATATAAAAGGTCTAAATATACCAATTAAAAGACACAGATTGGCAGATTTTTTTTTAATGACCAAACTACATGGTGGCTACAAGACACTTCAAACACGATGATAAATGTAGGTTAAAAGTAAAAGAATGGGGGGGGGGAGGCTGGGTGGCTCATTTGGTTAAACATCTAACTTCAGCTCAGGTCATGATCTCACTGTGCATTCAAGTCCCAGGTCAAGCTCTGTCCTGGCA